CGACGATTCCAGCTGAACGAGAGTAATGGAACAATAATAGCAGGTGGGCATGGAGAGGGTGATGACCTTCGTCAACTGCATTCGCCTTACTACATCTATGTCGATCGAGATAATTCATTGTACATATCAGACGAACAAAATCATCGTGTGATGAAGTGGGTAGAGAGTGAGTCAAAAGGTAGTGTCGTTGCCGGTGGTCATGGTTGTGGAAATAATCTGGAACAATTGTGTGGTCCTCAAGGAGTGGTTGTCGATCAGTATGGTACTGTCTATGTGGCAGAGCTTTGGAATCATCGAATAACACGTTGGCTCAAAAATGCAACACAGGGAAGTATCCTTGCAGGGGATTATAGCGCAGGAAAACAAGCAAATCAATTGAATACTCCAGAAGGCTTATCATTTGATCGATACGGCAATCTCTATGTCGTCGACCGATTAAACAATCGTGTTCAAAAATATAATATCAAAAAGAATGACGGACAACAATTATTAGAAGAGGCTGCGCTGAATAAAGCGTCAGAGTTATTCGATAGCAATATGACTAGTGAGTAGAAAATGTTTTTTCTAAAGAAATAATAGTTTTAGAAGCTGATTGAAAGATGATTATTTTCCGACTTGTATGGTCATATTGACTTTTAAACCAGTGGGTGTGCTATAACCTATAGACCTCTCAGTTTTTTTCTAAGTATCGATCCTAGATTTTCGATACTTTGAATTGTAGAACGGTGAGGTTGTTCTTTTGATTGGCAACCATCTACACACCCTCACTCGGGATAAAAGAAAACTGCAGACAATAATCTCGAAAGGTTTATTGTAGCTTTTCGTTGAACTCATATTTACTGCTGACTTGTCAAAATTCGTGCAACGGATGGTGTGAGTGTTTATTCTCTATGCTACCACCCTCACACCCATATTAAGCGGTGACAAAATCAACTGAAACGGTCGTTTACGACCGTGCTTCTGTCACCTGGGTTGCAGATAGCTTGAAGTGACCGTGAAGATCATCTGTTGGACATTGAAATAGGCAAAAGAAGAATATCAGGCACCTACGATAAAAGGCTGCTACTCGACCACAAGATGTCCATGAGAATAGACAACAGATTGTTGAGAATATGTATAGGTGGGACCAGACATACGTGTTGAAAAATTTAATTTTTAATCATAGAAATGATGGAATTGTCGATAAATTTTAATATCGTGTACGCTTTTTGTAGCGTACTAAATTGAGCATCAGTCATAATACGGAATGATAACTTTGTGTGAAGCGAAAATCCGACATATTTGAACGATTTCTTTTGTATTATTTTTACATCATCATAGTAAATATATAATTTGAGACTTAAGTAGCAGAAAAATATGAATTGTTTTAATATATGTGAGTTTCATATTTCCGATTGCTTGGATATCCAACGACATTTCTTCTCTCGGAATTCACATGAATCTCTAGTGAGGCTTTGAAAACCATTGATCAAAGTTCTCTAACACATGACCAATAGCTTTTTTTAGAAGATTCTTTCTCTTATCAACTCTTATAGTATTATTCACACTCTAACATGAATGATCTTCTACTCGCAAGATAATCTCTGAAACATCATATTTAGCAATTTAAAAAAGTTTCTAAATGTAGGAATACTACAAAGCTCTTTTGTTCTTGCAGCACTTCCTGAATTCATGCGGTTTACTATATAAATTGTTTAAACTCTCTTTTCAGTGAGAAAAGGTCTTTAAAGAAAATATCAACAAATCCTTACTGGACAGCTGTCTAAGCAGAGATCTATAATGTGATAGATCTTGAAGAGCTTTCTTATATTTATATTCACGCGAAAAGAAACCGTTTCAAATATCTTATCGAAAGATCTTATTTTCAGGAAATCCCTCTCGTGCACGCGCGAGACAGAAAGATGTCGAAGCTATCTTTTCATTGTTTGTTCCTTGTAGTCATTCCTAATATTCCTGTCAATGCCAAATGGGCAAAGAAGGGCGTGACTGTTGCTGGAGAGCACGGAAATGGCAACGCCACCAATCAACTCAACGACCCTCACGGTCTCTTCGTTGACGAGTATCAAATGGTGTTCATCGCTGACACGCTCAATCATCGTATCATCCAATGGAAGATGGGTGATATGAATGGGCAAGTCGTCGCTGGTGGCCATGCACAAGGAAGTCGATTGGATCAATTGTATAGTCCAAGCTATGTGCTGACCGACAAAGAGACGAACAGTATGATTATTTGTGATTGGAAGAATCGACGAGTTGTACGATGGTCTCGTCGTAGTGGCACAACTCAAGGAGAAATCCTCCTTGACAATATCGAATGTTATGGATTGGCGATGGATGATCAGAGATATCTCTACATCTCTGATGAGAACAAACATGAAGTAAGACGATATCAACTGGGAGACAAGAATGGCACTCTCGTGGCTGGTGGCAACGGTAAAGGCGCTGGTCTCAATCAACTCAACAGGCCGGTCTATCTCTTTGTCGATCAACAACAAACTGTCTACGTGTCAGACTTGAATAATCATCGTGTGATGAAATGGAATAAAGGTGCAAAAGAAGGTATTTTGGTTGCCGGAGGTAAAGCCAGCGGAAATTCTCTGACACAATTGTGGTATCCTAACGGACTGTTCGTCGATACGTTGGGTACCCTCTATATAGCAGACGAGAGGAATCATCGAATAATGCGTTGGCCTCAAGAAGCAAAACAAGGCTCTGTGATTGTGGGTGAAAATGGTGAAGGAGCAGAAGCAAATCAGCTCAGTCGTCCCGAGGGTTTGTTCTTCGATCGACATGGCAATCTCTATGTTGCCGATCGTGGGAATCATCGTGTTCAACGATTTTCTCTAGAATAGATTCGTGAACATGTTTGAATTTTATCTTTCTTTCAAATAAATCAAAAAGAAAACTTATTCGCTTTTACTATTCGCGAATGAGGATGTGGGTATCAGTTAAGATATAATCCTCATTCACATCCACACCCACTCTGACACATATCAAACACGCGCAACTGTTCCAGGTATGGAAAAGAAGTTAAAGAACAAAGTCGTTGCAGTTGAATATTAGATGGAAGAATCCATGTTAATGACCGAATATTCGAAAAGCAATTTGAGATCGATCTTTTTAATATCTTCTAGAGTAAGTTTAATGACTCGAGAGAAGATCAGCCAGATTGGCTCATGGCTTTCAATGCTTGTAATCCTAAAATATAGACCGGATATGCTATCAATAAGTGATCGAAATCGATAGTCGACACCATAAAATACACGATAGAGCTCTAGAGTCGTTAAATATTTATTACTAACAATACCAAACATCTTCAATTGCATTGCCTGACATTTAAAAGATAAACGTGAAAGAAAAAGACAATTTTTTTTTATCTATTTTATCATGCGCCTGTGAAATACAACGATAATGTACCATGCACATCATGTTTTCAAAAGACTTGGTATGTATTGCAGCGAACTATTTCCTTTTCGGACAGACGATTGTGTCAAGTATACAAACACATATGCCAATCAGATGTTTATGAGGCAAATATTAGAATGTCAGCACATCGAACACGATAGCCTATTTAAACAGAATATACATAAAACAAAATATTCACATAAAAAAATCACTTGAAATCTGAATTTCTATTTGATCGAATGAGTAAGATTTTTGTTAGTCTCAGTAATTTCGTGTAATTTTGAAAAGCTCATGATTTCTTATCCATTCTGAACAGAACAAGTGTTGCAACTTTGTGCAAAAAAGTTTCTTCGAATGTTGATTTATAAATAAAACACATAAAAATGGAGTAAGAATAATGCATAAATGTCGTTTCTGTTTTTCTCTTTCTTTCTTAGTCATCTACTGCGATAAAAATTTTTCGAGGGTGTGGATGAAAAAGGGATTTGAGGAACTACCTACATCTTCTTTGGTATGCTAGTCAAAATTCGCCTCGTTGTCTCATTTTAATAGATGATTTCTTATTCATAATTGCTACATATTTTTTATTTCAATATTAATTGACATACATGTATTAATATCACTACTACCGAAAGTCATAAAATGAATTATTTAGAAAAAAAAGTAATTTTTTTTTGTGTGAGATATATATTAATCCCATCCGACTGGATAATCTCTTGCATGATTTTCCTTTTTCAACCATTCATATAATGGTTAAAAAAAATCTAATATTGCTCCCGAATCCAATTTGGTCTCCCCATTTAAGCTTTGTAAAACTTCTGGCCATGGCTTTGAATTTCCCATATCTAGCATATCTTTAAATTTTTCCTCAACATATTTATTTCCATATATATCACACAGATGAAATCGTTCTGTAACACCTTGCAGTTGACACATACTACGATACAATTGAAATTCAAGGATATGAGCAATAAAATATCTTAGATAGGGAACATTCGATGGTATATGATATTTGGCGCCTGCATCAAAATTTTCTTTATTGTTTCGAGGTACAGGCGGCATAATACCACCATGTTTTATTCGCAGTGCCCACCACATTGAATTCAATTCATTTTCATGATCAATTTCGTCACGAAAAAGAACAAATCGATATTTATCCATTACATGAGCAAACGGTAGAAAAGCAACTTTTTGTAATGCTAAACGTAAAAGATAGTTAATTTCATAATGTGAATTGACAACATTTTCGTCAAGAAAACCCAACGTTATTAAATGTATCGGTGATACTAGACAAATATTGAAGACAAAGAAATTCTTATGACAAAAAAAAAGAACTTACTTGCAAAGATACCAGTTGTATCTCCAATGGCTTCATGAAAACCTGCATTAGCTCCTTCTTGATAAACGTGGGGTTGATTTCTATCATAAGCCATGAAATACTCTATATGTCATAATTCATGATGAACTGTATCAAAATGATCATCATTGACTTGAGGGTGTGGGTGTGGATGGACTGTTTCACGGCACAACTCCCACACCCACACACCACACTCCCACACCCACTTCCACACCCACACCCATACTCACACTCAATCATTTCTTCTAGTATTTTGTTACGGTTTTACTGAAATGAAAGAGACATGAAAGACAGATATTCTCTTGAGAAACTTTGATTTTTCATTTAAATTATTAATGTCTAATGTATTATAACTCTACAGTGAAAAAGAAAGTGATGATCGCTTGAGGGTGTGGATGTGGATGTGGGTGTGGCTATGGGTGTGGGTATGGGGTGTGGGTGTGAGTGGGTGTGACTGTGGCTCTGAATCTGGCTCTGGCTGTGGGTGTCGATGTGGATGTGAGGTGTGGGGTCTGGATGTCCGTTTTTTCTTCATCCACACCCATAATCCCACAAGCCCCACACGCATACACCCACAGCCACACTCACACTCACCCACACCCTGTCAGGAATATTAGAAGTTGAAACAACCCTGTTGCATAGTCTCTCTTAAGTTGTATGCATGCTGATGTTAGTGTGAATCGTTTTAACACCTATGCATGCGACGCAGACTATCTAATTTTGTTTCTATGGTGTTAAAAGAATGCGACCGAGTATTTGTTAAGCACGATAGTTACATGTATGAGCCCCTGTCTAAAAAAAAGTTGTGGTGGTAGTTGGGATACACCATTTTACAGCATATCTATTGTTCTTCTTGGGGTCTTTCTAATGCTGGTCCGCGGATTAGAGTGAGCGCCTTGTTTCGGATCTGGACTTCTAACGTAATTTTGTTAGCTGTCATTAGTTTATACTCTTGTAAACGGAAGATCGCTATGCGCTGACTTTTGCGGCATACGCGAAAATCCTCTTGAAAAATAAGTGCAGTTTTGGTGATTATCTTGCCGCGTGCATAGCTTAAGGAAAAGCTTTTTTTCCATGTCTAATGTGATCGAAACACCTAATATTCTCCGAGAGTACGGAAATAGCTAAACTTTAGGTTGATATCAATTATAATTATAAATGTGGTTCTGACTATCCTGATAAAGTAGCCACAAATTCTAAGTTTTAGTTTGTCTTTGTTATACTTATAATGTGGGAGATAGTTATTCTGTTGACCCACCCTGGCTGACAGTGCGCCATTCGATTTGTGTGCTGGGCGAACTTTCGTGAGCTCACTGTCACTCTGAATGTTGCGGCCTGTTGCATGTTCGTGAGTAAGTTATTGCTAACCTGACTTTGCTCACCGGCAAGCCAGAAACTAGGAGTGGATCGGTCCAGACTATATTTGCGATTGGAATCAACATCAGGTTCATCTGAGATTCTTCGGCTATTTTATAAGTGAAGTACTGGCAGAAATCTCATTTTTTCATTTATTTTCATAGTGAGAAAAACCTCTTAGAGCTTCATTCATATTCAACCTGGAATAGATCGCCTACTGTTTTTCCTGCAAACTCATTTTTCTTTAAATGTGATTTGAATCAGTTCAGCACATAATTATTTATCTTCTTGCATTAAGAGTACCATCGTGTTTTTGGAAAACACTTATCAAGGCATTGATTCAAATTAATCACTCACTGATAGTTTTAAAAAAGGTTGATATGTGGACACAATATTTTACTATGCACTATAATTTCTAAGATTTTAATAAAACATTTTTTTAGCTCATGGCAATCTAAAGCTAAAACGTATTCTTCCTGTATCGATATAATGTAGTCTATGTTTAAACGCAGTTATGCATATTTGCCAACAGTCACCGAAATGCAAACATTCACATAGAGCGTAAACTCACCTTCAGGAGCTCATTAGGCAACCTCTCTTGTACAACTGCGCACTATATTAGATTTACCACTGCGAAAAATATTTTCACAACTTTAAAGAAAGAAAAATACGAACCCTTAGCCGGAACTATCCGTTTCACTGATAACTGCAAATTTATACACAGACCGCTCCCAGGAATCGCCTTTCTTGTTTACCATCATCTAGAACTCTGCCAAAAATTAAGCATCTACCAGCGTCTTCCACTTCATTATGAATCCATTACTTCGATAACACGTACATAATTTCATAAATTTTATCTTTTGCGTTCTGCTGTTCCAACAGCACTGTGCCTTCGAATTTATAAATTTATAATTTTTATAAGATTTATCTTTTGCTTTTTGGCTATTTCAACAGAGAAGCCGTTTTTTTCATTTATTTTCGAAGTAATAATAAACACTTGGCTGTCCATTTATATTCGAACTCGAATTAGGCAACTCATGCAGTGTGATATATCAAAAATTGACAGATAAAATGGTATGTTTTTCGTTATAAGATGTTCTAAAAAATACCATGCATTTTACAAGATGGATCAAGCGTTCACGAGTGAATTTCCTATGACACAAAATAGTCTTGTGTTCAGGTTAATAAAATTTGATGATTGTTGCAATGGTGAATATAATCTTGTGAAATATCTACACATGCGTCATTTCACTCGATATCCATTAATGCAGTGAATGAATTCACATCAAATTTTCACCTCTGAATGAAATTCATTTTTTTTCTCACAAATAAATTTCGCATATAACATAATTAAAAAATTCTAAAGTCTTGATGAAACATCCATCTGTTATTATATGAATAAGAATATGTAAAACAGCTACTATTTTATTTTATTTTCTGCATAATACGTTCTTTAAATCAACACTGAAACCATTCAAGAATATTCATTGTCGAAAGAATAAAATAACACAAGTCTTATTTTATTTGAAAATCGAACGAAGATACTACAAATGGATGGTAATGATCATATATAATTTTTTTTCTTTCGTTAATAATTTGATATTATCTTTTAATTTTTGTCGTACAAATAAATCAATCAGATATTAATAAATTGTCTAACGATAGTCTTCATCAATCAATTGAAACACAAGTAAACTCTTCTTTGCATTTATATATTCTTATATGCATTGATTAGAACTCCTTTTTAGCATTGTCATAAATCGAATATAACGAAACGATCTACAACAATCATTCATGCCACCATCAAACCTTTATCAGTCACTACTCATCTGGGACACCAAAAATTTATTGATCATGAAAACAATAATTCGCATTCAGTAACATTAGAAATATTTTTATTTTCGTTGATCGATGAATATTTTTAAACTAGATTCCAACTATTTTATTGGCTTATTCTGACAAAAAATCAACAAATTTGTTTATTACTGACAAATCTATGCAGTATCCAAAGCAATTTACATACTCAAATCCGATCGGTCCGCTTCATTCATCCGATAATTTCACTTCACAAGTAAAGTAAACAAATATAAAGATTAAATTAATTATGACGAAAAAGATTTTATCTATAAATGAGAACTAAAAGATTAAAATAAACATGTTGCAGTTTATACATTATGAAAGAAAGGTTGTTTTGTTCTTTTGTAGCAGGCTCGTCTCAAATTGTGGATAAATGATGATTCAAAGACAAATATACAGAAACAGAAGACGAATTCAACAAGAACACATCTCGGTCAAAAGAGGTATTCTGCATCAGTTCTAAAACTAAAAAAACATTCAATAAATTCATCGAAAGTGGCTCATTCTCAAGTAGCTCACAGCTTGCCAATATTTTTTAAATAACTCATTTCATGTTCTTCATAGAATGTAGATGTGACGTTGGATCGACGAAATTTAATCAATGATCACCATCAAAATATAAATAGAAATATAAACAAAAAGTAACGTATTTTGCCTTATTATTTTCTCTTGTGAGTATTGACGATCATTATTGTCGTAGATATTCAAAAAAAAGTGTATTTCTCATCGTAAGTGTTAGTATACTTACCTTCACAGCTTTTGCTACCAATATGGCTGCTTTGTTGGCTACACTTAAAAAAACTTCATCAACAATAACTTTATCAACAAGTAAGATATCACCCTACGAATGATTAACAATAGTAAAATCTAAAAGAAAGGTCATATGGAAGGAATTCTATATCAGTACGATTTGTCATTAAGAGAAAGCTAAAATGTGGAATGTTCTTTTTCAGCCACATCACCATTGCTCCGCTGGAACTCAACAGGCATTACGGTCGCTGGAATTTCAGGCGTGTCGGGCAATACCACCGACAAACTTAACTATCCTTGGAGTTTGGCTTTTGAACGGCCTAATATACTCTATGTTAGCGACAGAAACAATCATCGAGTTCAAAAGTTCGTTATAGGCACAATACAGGGTTCAACTGTGGCTGGACTAGCAAATAATACAGCAGGTTCATCATCTGATGCTTTGAATTCTCCTGTTGGTATTGTTGTTGACGACAGTAGCAGCCTCTATATAGCCGACGAATATAATTATCGAATTCAACTATGGTCTAGTGGTGCATCATCGGGCAAGACAATTGCCGGTAACACAAGTAAGAAAAGATGCAATGATTCTATTCTTCTCTATCAATTCAAAAAGTTATTACTGTCTGATATACATAAGAGAAAATGTTTTTGCTTATATTCAAATGTTTTCCAATGTTATCTATCAGTATCCGACATGAGGGCGCAACAATCAACGTGAATTGACCCGAGTCGGATCAAACACACGTTGATTGTTGCGCCCTCATGTCGGACACTGTTATCTATATACTAATGGCGAGTGTGCGTCTGATCCCTTCCCCATTGGTCGATTCTCTCAGCCAATCAGATTTCGAGGTCAGGTTTTTCGCGTATTGCTCACGTAAATCATCGGAGGGAGTTATCTGAACGGACAGAGAGTCTTAGGCGCTATCGAACTGCTACAGTAACCCTAAGCCTACCTCGCACCGTTCACGAAAAAGGACGTTGAATTCTGATTGGCTAAGCGAATCTATCAATCAGTTTTCAAGACCGGTTTTTTTTCTTATTCTTCACGTAAGTAATCGGTGCGAGGTATCCTAACGGATAGACAATTTCACGCGCTACTGATTTGCTATGGCAATCTCAACTGTATCTGTCGCCGTTGGCGACAAACAAGGTCTTGAATTCTGATTGATCAATTCTGTTAGCCAATCAGATTTCGAGGTGCGTTTTTTCACGTATTCTTCACCTGAATTACTGGTGCGAGTTATCCAAAAACAGAGAATTACAAACGCTACCGATTCTCTTTGGCAACATCAACTCTATCTATCACTGTTCACCAGAAACAAGCGCTTGAACTTTGATTGGCTGAGAGAAGCGACCAATCAAATTTTCAGATGAGGTTTTTCGCTTATTTTCGATGCAGGACATAGAATTGTCTGAAGCGATTGCCCGACTACATTAACAACTCATGATCGGCTAAGCAAAGCCAACCTCACCTTCTACGGCCGAAATAAGCGAAAACAACTCTCCTGAAATCTGATTGGTTGATACAAGGAACCAATCAGATTTGAAGGTGAGTTTTTCCATTCATTTTGTACCCCAAAACATAGAGCTGCTTGAGATGAATGACAGAGATCATTGGAAACATCACGACTGGCCAGGAATATCTTACTAGCTGTGTGAAGAACGAGAAGAAACCTGTCCTCAAGTCTGATTGGCTAAAAAATAACCAATGAGATTTCGATGCGAGTTCTCTCTCTCAATTGCAAATCCTACGGTCTCTAACCGCGAAAGAGAAAGGGGCGTACTATATGTAGAAAGCTACGAGGAACAACATATCGAACCAAGATATAGAAGCCGCAATTTATCACACGGAATCCGTGTATCAAGAGAGCGTAATATGTTACCGAGAAGAAAAAAATGCATATCGAAGTTCATGACAGCCAAAAGATAGTATTAGAAAGTAACCCTACATTTTGCAGAGCGTCCAGCTAGTATTACTCATAATATATAGATTTAATTTGTTGTGAAATTATATTAAGGATAGTGCTTGTGAATTTTATATCATTTATTATAAATAAATTTTTATCTGACTTATAAACATATTCGTAGGTTCTTCGGGAAATGCAAACAATCAGTTGAATACTCCCACTGATATCGCATTAGATTCAAACACTGCTACACTTTACATAGCAGACTCTTTTAATCATCGAGTTATGCGTTATTTATCTGGTACTTCCGCAGGTACGCTAGTGGCTGGCAATAATTCAGCAGGTACAGGTAATACACAGTTGTGGCAACCTACTAGTGTTTATTTCGATTCGCCCACGAACAGTCTCCTTATTGCCAATACTTATGCACATAATATTGTTCGTTGGGTGTTGGGAGACAGTTGTTGGACACTAGTCGCTGGCAATCTTAATGGAAGCTCTGGAAACACGTTCAGAGAACTTCAATATTCTAGAACTGTAACACTCGACCCAATGGGTAATGTGTATGTCGCCGATACAGTCAATCATCGCATTCAATTTTTCTTAAATGGTGAAACAAATGGAACAACAATTGCTGGACACACAGGTTCACCTGCTAGAAATGCTACTGGACTATTTTATCCTTCGAAAATAGTGTTAGACTCTCAGCTTTATTTGTATGTTGCGGACACGGATAATCAACGAATACAAAAATTTCTACAATATTGAAAAATAAACCAACACTCGCAGCCCAGAACTGTTTCTTCCAATCAAACTCCGATATTTCGCTTTTGAATTGTATTTCATTCTGGATTTGTTCTAATAGCTCAAAAATAAAAATATATTTTACAACATTGTCAACACACTAACAGAAAATCAAAAAATTGAGCGTCGTTCAGGGTGTCGATGTGTGTCGGTGGATGCGGGTGTGGGTGAGATGTGTGGGGTGTGGGTTCCGGTGTGGATCTTTTCTTCAGCTACACCCACATCAATCCCACGCTTATACCCACACCGACACCCACATCTATATCCACACCCACACCTACACCCACACCCACACCCCACACTCATCCACACTCACAGCCAAATACAGGACATGAAAATCAAGAGCATTTTTACGCGTGAAAACGATTAGAGTATTTAACGATGAATAATTAAATGACTTTCGTTAGGAATCACAATATTCATTAAAACTCGTTAAAATATTTCACTCGTGAAAACAGTTACTAGATTTAATGAGAATCAATCAGTTAGCCTTCGTGAAATATGGAAAACTTCGTGAAAACGTGTTAATACATTTAACGCGTGAAAACAACTGCAATATTTAATGAGATGCAATGCGTTAGTTACTGTTAAAAAGAAAGGCACGCATGAAAAAGCCCGAATATTCTGACGCGTTTTTACGAAACTCCAAAGTATAACGAAAGTTCATGAAATTTTCTTCGTGAAACTTCATTAATTTATAGTTTAATGTAACGTTTTGCGTTAATTTAAACAATCATTTTCGTTAAATGTCTTTTTATTTTTACATGAGTGATAGTGAAACTAAATTGATAGATCTATAGAAAACTTACATAACCATCATAAGTATTAGCATATTGCTAATACTAATTTAACACTGATGTCAAAGTATTACGTTATTGTTTTAAAACTAACACAAACGCATTAAATTGTTTCTTAACTCTAATGCGAAAGTATTAGCACTTTTTAAATACTAACGCTAAGTCGACACTGCTAATGATATTGGTGGATATTGTTCGAGAACGGATTGAACAAAATGAGAAACCATATTCTTTTTACACTGGATAATTGTTCGATATTTAATTATGAAAAAAACTGGATTTTTCAAGTTTAAAAATGTTTTAAGAGTCCGATTTATGATGCATAATTCAGCAAAATGGATTTGAATCTCATTGACTAGAAACTAAGATGTTGTGACAGAGTTTGATTTCATGCCGAATGAACAACTTATGGATAATTGGTCAAATTAGTCGATATTATTCACGAACGATCAGAAGAATAATGACACATTATGGGAAGAAAAAAAACTGGATGATTTTCGTCGACTTTAATATGATGGAAATCAATGAGAAACAACAAGTTAATTCAATATCTGCATCGAATCTATGGCATGTTTGTTTCCTTAGAAATACTCTTCGATATCGTTTGATGAAAACCATCCGTTCCTCATTGCTCCAAAATAACATCATTTTGAGAATATGAAAACTGAAATCACATTTGGAGCATTAATGGAAGTCAATCATAACAGTTCGTTTGGTTTTGGTTTTCGTTACATTGATAATAAAACAAGCTCGGCGTTTGAACCTATGTGAGAATTCGTTCGATGAAAGCAAGTCATGACACCATATGGTTTCATCTTATGTTTTTAGAGAGCTCCTCTACTCTATCTGTTTAGTGGACAGGAATTTCGAATGAGAAAGTGGAAGAAAAATAGATGCACATAGTAAACGAGAAGTTACTCAAAGAACATGCGCACGTAAAAGTGGCACAGACAGAAAGGAAAAGACGCTACGTTTTCATTTAAAGAAGTCCAACAATAGTTCAAATATTGGCTTGAATGAAACTTCATTAACTCTATTATATTAGTTTTTATCTGCAAATCTCGAAACTTTTCATATAGCTTCATCAGTTTTCTATTGGTATTTTCTTTAAAACAAGATAAGTATCGTACATAGAAAAATTATCATCATGCGACTTGTCTTTAATATCATTTTCAAAAAGAGTCCAATATTGATTAAGTATGGTCTCAATGTTTTCAATCGATCGTCCATTCATCTCTAGAGCGTTTCGAAGACCTGATTTGGTCCAAGGGCGTGTCGTTTGAGTGTGAACTTTTGCACATTCATCGAGTGTCATTTGACCATCACGATACTCATCGAACAACCGTGTTGAATAGATTGCATGTCTTCGGAGAGTATCCCCGGAAACTCGATTATGTCCTAGGGTAAGATGTATAGAGATAGATAGGTATAGGAGGTATAGGAGGTATAGGAGATATAGGAGGTATAGGAGATATAGGAGATA